TGTGCTCGACGTGGCGTCCCAGGACGGCACAATCGACCACAGCCACAACCAACGTGCTCATGTCGAGGTCGGTGGGTTCTCCCCAAAAGAAATCTCCAACAATTATCCCGGCAAAGCAACCTAACAGCGATGTGTAGGAGCATATCTGGAAGCATCCCCCTTAAGATTCAGATGAGAATCCAGTTGTAGAGTTCTGCTGTTCTCGCAGTCGTAGTCGCATTCGCGATGACAGTCGCAGTGGCCTGCATCAGCCTGCCTCAGCCTCAGCCTGCCTCAGCCTCAGCCTCAGCCTGCCTCAGCCTCAGCCTCAGCCTGCCTCAGCCTCAGCCTGCATCCTCAGCCACAGCCTCAGCCTCAGCCTGCCTCAGCCTGCCTCAGCTTCAGCCTCAGCCTCAGCCTGCCTCGGCTTGCCTCGGCCTCAGCCTCAGCCTGCCTCGGCCTCAGCCTCAGCCACAGCCTGCCTCAGCCTCAGCCTCAGCCTGCCTCAGCCTCAGCCTGCCTTCATCTCAGCCTGCGTCTTCGCTTCAGCCTCAGGCCTCAAGCCTCGGCCTGCCTCAGCCTCCAGCCTGCATCGCCTCCAGCCTCAGCATCAGCCTGCTTCAGCCTCAGCCTCAGCCTGCCTCAGCCTCAGCCTCAGTCTGCTTCAGCCTCAGCCTCAGTCTGCCTTCAGCCTCGGCCTCAGCCTCAGCCTGCCTCAGCCTCAGCCTGCCTCAGCCTGAGCCTCAGCCTCAGCCTGCCTCAGCATCAGCCTGCCTCAGCCTCAGCCTCATCCTGCCTCAGCCTCAGCCTCAGCCACAGCCTGCTTCAGCCTCTGCCTCAGTCTGCCTTCAGTCTCGGCCTCAGCCTCAGCCTGCCTCAGCCTCAGCCTGCCTCAGCCTCAGCCTCAGCCTCAGCCTGCCTCAGCATCAGCCAGCTCAGTCCTCAGCCTCAGCCTCACCTCAGCCTCAGCCCAGCCGTGCTTCAGCCTCAGCCATGCCTGAGTGGGACGTGTCGCCATCAGCCCTCGGCCTCCATAGAGACATGCCTGCATCAGCCTCAGCCTCACTCAGCCTGCCTCACCTCAGCTGCCTCAGCCTCAGCCTCAGCCTTCTTCAGCACTCAGCCTCAGTCCTGTCTGCCTTCACCTCGCTCCGGCCCTCGGCCTCATCTCAGCCTCAGCCTCAGCCTGTTTCAGCCTCAGCCTCAGTCTGCCTTCAGCCTCGGCCCTCAGCCTCAGCCTGCCTCAGCCTCAGCCTGCCTCAGCCTCAGCCTCAGCCTCAGCCTGCCTCGGCCTCAGCCTGCATCAGCCTCAGCCTCAGCCTGCCTCATCCGCAGCTTGCCTCAGCCTCGCCTGCATCTCCCAAAAGCCCCCCCCCCCCCTCACCTCTCTGCCTCAGCCTGCATCAGCCTCAGCCTCAGCCTCAGCCTGCCTCAGCCTGCCTCAGCCTCAGCCTCAGCCTCAGCCTGCCTCAGCCTCAGCCTCAGCCTGCTTCAGCCTCAGCCTCAGTCTGCCTTCAGCCTCGGCCTCAGCCTCAGCCTGCCTCAGCCTCAGCCTGCATCCGCCTCAGCCTCAGCCTCTGCCTGCCTCAGCATCAGCCTGCCTCAGCCTCAGCCTCAGCCTGCCTCAGCCTCAGCCTCAGCCTCTGCTTCAGCCTCAGCCTCAATCTGCCTTCAGCCTCGGCTTCAGTCTCAGCCTGCCTCAGCCTCAGCCTGCATCAGCCTCAGCCTCAGCCTCAGCCTGCCTCAGCCTCAGCCTGCATCAGCCTCAGCCTGCTTCAGCCTCAGCCTCAGCCTGCATCAGCCTCAGCCGGAGTCTGCCTTCAGCTTCGGCCTCAGCCTCAGCCTGCATCAGCCTGCCTCAGCCTCAGCATCAGCCTGCCTCAGCATTCAAAATGTGGCCAGGGAATGGAATTCTGGGAACTCGAAGAACACGAAGTGGCCTACAGTTTGCTCCGGGCATGCAAAATCATACCCAGGAATGGAGTTCTGGGAAGTCCAAGAGCACGAAGTGGCCTACAGTTGGCTCCGGGCATCCAAAATGTGGCCCGGGAATGGAGTTCTGGGAACTCGAAGACCACGAAGTGGCCTACAGTTGGCTCCGGGCATCCAAAATGTGGCCCGGGAATGGAGTTCTGGGAACTCGAAGACCACGAAGTGGCCTACAGTTGGCTCCGGGCATCCAAAATGTTCGCCGGGAATGGAGTTCTGGGAACTCGAAGACCACGAAGTGGCCTACAGTTGGCTCCGGCTATTCCGAATGTGGCCCGGGAATGGCGTTCTGGGAGGTCAAGGAGCACCAAGTGTGTGACTGTTGCATCCGGTTATTCAGAATGTGGCCTGGGAATGGGGTTCTGAGAGGTCGACGAGCACGAAGTGTGTGACTGTTGGTGAAAAACGAACCCGGCACAGGCCCGGCCGGCAACTCCCAACGCCTGCCCGGACCCCCCTGTGGAGTGATCTGTGAGCTCTTTTGAGTCAACTAGAAACCTATCAGTCTACGCTGTTAGGTAAAAATCTGCTTAGTTGTCGTTTTGGTTATTGGTTCTGCGCGGAGGTCCCGATCCTCGTGAGGGTTGTGCCGAAATGGGCGCGGGGACACCATGCGTCTGCGCTCACTGAAGCCGTCCGTAGGTGAGGCTACCTGTGAGGCCCTGATCCTCGTGAGGGGTGTGCCGAAATGGGCGTGGGAACGCGACAACGCGACGCGTCTGCGCTCACTGAGACCACCGTATGTGGGGCTCCCTATCCTACGTACCGAAATGGGGTCGGGGACTCCATGCGTCGGGGCCCACTGAGAAAGCAAAAAGCAAATGGAACTCCGTATGGGGCGACGAAACGTGTGAGGGGTGTGACGACGTGGGCATGCGGCAGGGTCGGGAGGGAGCGGGATGGAGTGAGGTGGGAGAGGCGCTGCGGACTCAACACGAGGGCCCAACTCAACACAGGAGGGTTGGGAAACACGTACTCCGAGTTTCTTAACAAGCGTCGGGGGGGGCGTCACCCCCGCCGACAGCCCCACATCGACCCCCGTCGCGGGCAGCCACCGACCCCCGTCGCGGCGCGACGACGAGGCGAGGTTGACCCCCGTCGGGGGGGTACCCCCCACGCTTATTAAGAAACCCGGAGTAAATTCCGGAGGGCTGCAGAAGATGGAGCAGCCGTCCGCGCGCGCGCGTCCGCAGCTCGTCAGGGGGGGGATAAAAAAAGACTGCACGAGCGTAAACCTTCGGGGGCCCGCGCGGACTTCTTGGCTCTGCGCTGGATCCACTCCTCAGTCGCAACGACAGGGGGGGAATAGGCACAGGGGGGGAGGCATCGAACCCCAATCGCTCATTGATCGCCGATAGGGGTCTGATAGCCCCAATCCGCCCAGGAAGGTGCGGATTCACTATCGGGGGCCTATCGCCGATTAATCGGCGATGTATCGCCGATTCCAGGTCGATGCACCCCCATCTATGCCTGTCCCCCCCTATCGTTGCCCCCCAGCCCCCCGGGGGCCTAGCGCGGGTCCAAGGAGTCCGCGCGGACCCCCGAGCAAAACAGGTTGATGCATGCTCGCAGGTCCTGCGTGGCGGCTCTGTGTGCGGGCAAGACTCGTGTCCGTACCCACTGCAGCTAGGAGTTTCGGGCCGCCTTCCCATGAAACCAGAGGCACACGGGACATGTGCAAAAACGCTTGCCCCTCGAGGCTCGAAACTTTTATCTGCATCCAGTGCGCATCGGCCTTCCGGTGCCGCTTCCCAGAACGTCCAAGACGCACTGAGAGGCCTCCTAGATGGGTCGACGTAGGGAAGATCGCGCCGAATCGCCGATGCATCGGCGATGCATCGGCGATGCATCGGCGATGCACCGGCGATGCACCGGCGACGCATCGGCGACGCACCGGCGGTACATCGGCGACGCCGGCGATGCATCGGCGACGTCGACGCGAAGCAAATCGGGCTGCGCATCGAGCCGCATCGGCGATGCATCGGCGATGCATCGGCGATAAGGCGCAATCCTCCGACCCCATCTACTCGGACCCCATCTAGGTGGCCTAGAGCACTGGATACATCTATCTATATATATATGTATGCCGTGTGCAACTAGCAGGCGGCAGCGACGCAACGAGGAGTCGCCGAGGAAGGTAGAGGGGGGGCGAGGAGGAGGGCGAGGAGAAGGACGAGGAGGATGGCGAGGAGGAGGGCGAGGAGAAGGGCTGGGAGTAGGGCGAGGAGGAGGGCGAGGGGGAGTGCAAGGAGAAGGGGCCCACTGGGGCTCCGTGTGCGACTTGTAGGCCGCAGCAACGCAGCGAGACTGCTCCTCCTCCTCCTCCTCCTCCTCCTCCTCCCCTCCTCCCCTCCTCCTCCTCCTCCTCCTCCTCCCCTCCTCCTCCTCCTCTTCCTGCCTCCTCCTCCTCTCCTCCTCCTCCTCCTCCTCCTCCTCCTCTCTCCTCCTCCCGCCTCCTCCTCCTCCTCCTCCTCCTCTCCTCCTCCTCCTCCTCCTCCTCCTCCTCCTCCTCCTCCTCCACCTCCTCCTCCTCCCCTCCTCCTCCCTCCTCCTCCTCCTCCTCCTCCTCCCTCTCCTCCTCCTTCCTCCTCCTCCTCCTCCTCCTCCTCCTCCCTCCTCCTCCTCTCTCCTCCTCCTCCTCCTCCTCCTCCTCCTCCTCCTCCTCCTCCTCTCCTCCTCCTCCTCCCCTCCTCCTCCTCCTCCTCTCCTCCTCCTCTCCTCCTCCTACTTCCTCTCCTCCTCCTCCTCCTCCTCCTCCTCCTCCTCCTCCTCCTCCTCCTCCTCCTCCTCCTCCTCCCCCCTCCCACCCCTCCTCCTCCCTTCCTCCCCTTTCTCCTCCTCTCCCTCCTCCTCCTTCTCTCTCCTCTCCTCCTCCTCTTCCTCCACCTCTCCTCCTCTGCCTCCTCCTCCTCCTCCTCCACCTCCTCCTCCTCCTCCTCCCTCTCCTCCTCAGGGGCCGCCGAGGGAGGGCGGCTGGCGGCGAGGGGCGAGGAGCGACCTCGCAGGCCAGCGAGGGGAGGGGGGGGGTGCTCCTGACGAGGGCGCCCGGGAGGGCGTGGGCACGTTGTGCACGGCCGGGCCCTGCCCCCGCCGCAGCCACTGGAGGAGGAGGGAGGAGGGCGAGGAGGAGGGGCAGGAGAATGAGGAGGAGGAGGAGGAGGAGGAGGGGAGGAGGAGGGGGAGGAGGAGAGGGGAGGAGGAGGAGGGGGAGGAGGAGGAGGGGGAGGAGGAGGAGAAGGAGGGAGGGAGGAGGAGGAGGAGAGAGGAGGAGGAGGAGGAGGGAGGAGGAGGAGGGGGGGAGGAGGGGGAGGGGGAGGAGGCAGAGGGTGTCAAACGAGTGGCCGAGCCACTGGTATGTCCCCGCCGCAGCTGCCACTGGTACAGTGGAGGCCCGAACACAAGCAGCCAGAGAAACCTAACACTGGAACCACAGGATGTCCATGGACTCTTAGTGTCGGAGCGTCATGCTGCCCATAGCGAAACCATCGACACCCAAGAAACCCAGGGCACCCTGGAGGCAAGCAGGGTGCTTCTTGGCATGAGCCTCCACTGTATGACCCCCCCTTCCCTCCCTCCACGCTCTCTTCATCCTCCTCCTCCTCCTGCTCCTCAATCCCTTGTCCTCATGAACAACTTAAGACGAAGCCGAAACGAAGAAAACATCGGGTGGGGATAAAGCGAAAGTATCCAGGATCCGGCGGTTCTGGAAGATGTCTCGGGCGCCGCGGCCTTCTCAGAGGTTTCCGGGATGCTCTGAGAGCGTTCCAGAACGCTCTGGACGGATTAATCCTCGTCCTAGCCCCGTCCGATAACTCCTCCCTGCCGCGCCCCGAGTCTGGTCGCAAGGGCGGGCTGGGAGCTTCGCCTGAGACGTCCTCACCATGCATGATCCTGAGGCTAAATTTCGCAAGCGCTTCACGGATGGAGGGCGGGCGGTTTTCGAAATGTGGTCCTCGCCTTCGCGCCGCGTACATTCGTCTTCACGGGCTTCACGGGTGGAGGACGGTTACTTTGTCAAAATGTGGCTCTCGCCTTAGCGCCGCGTACTTTCAGCTGACGAAAGAGTTCGCAACGGTTTCAAGGATCATGATTTATTTAATGCCAACAAAAAACGATGTTTTGCCCGCGATGTCGAAATGGCACGGCGCATCAGTCATCTGAATTCGCGGTGCTGTAGTCCCAGAAATAGCTTGGCATCATACATGATCGTCAAGACGCAAATGTGACGGTGATTCGCGGCGTCGATCTCCCAACAATGGTGTTCTGGCACAGTTCCGGATTTTCGAACACGAGATACTTCGCTCAGTGAATATGATTCCTTGCAGAGGCCTGTGAAGATTGAACTTGAAGGGTTGGCCTATTGCAATATCGTTGACGAGTCTTGAGATTACACTAGTCCTCCTCTACCTTCTCATCCTCCTCCTCATCATTACCATCAGCAACAACATCATTATCACAACTACGTGACCCTCAAACGATCACAAAAACCATCAGATCATCACAGCCACCGTCACTGTAATCACGATAGTCATCATCACCACCGTCGTCGCCATCGTTTTCATATGCAGTCTCATCATCCTCATCATCATAGTCAGCATCGTCATATTTGTCAACCACATCGTCAACAACAACAACAACAACAACAATCATTTTACCCGAACGCGTGGTGTTCTCCCCAGTGCCAGGGTTTTCATACGACACCAGGCAATACCCCCACTTCGTGGGGGGGCATTACAAGCTCTACCAAATATCCAAACGACTCTTCGCGACCACCCAAACCCAGCTTCCCGCCCTATGACGTTGGGACACTTCACTTCGTGGCGTGCGGACGACCGTGGCTACTACACTGGCGTGGGGTACACACCCACAGAACTTGGTCACTTATTCGGGGCGCGCATGTGCCCAGCATGGTGCAATTGTGCCATACAATACATAATACAGAGAGACAGAGACAAAAGACGGCGTGCGCGCGCGAAGAAAAAACGAATGTGTCCCGCATGGTATTATTTGACAGGGATGATGGCCCTGGCAGGTGCGCAACCGTTGTCGCAGAAGTTCGAAAAAGTTGCTCGCAAAAGCCCGTTTGACAGAAATGTTTAAAAAGTGTTGGGTTTCCTACGAATCCGCAAGAGCGCGCGGGATGAGATTTTGACATTTTTTTGTTGAAAAACCATTGGTTTTTTGATGTTTTTATGTTAAAATCGCTCCGAACACTAAGCTTTTGGAAGGATTTCGTCTTGCGCGCGCGAATGTCCACTTTACCTTATTTTTTGCAAGGGATTCTTGAAATTTGATTATATTAGAACAAGAAATGTCATTTTATAGTGTTTTTTGCAAGGGAAAGCGGGGGGGAACAAAACAACCGGATCTTGATCACATCGAATTACCTGAGGCTTCCTCACGAAAATGATGAAAATGTAGCTGCGGCCTAGGCGCGGCGGGGGGGGCGTGCACCAGGGGGCCCAACAATAATTATTCTTTAGAATTAATAATGTTCAACAACAACAACAACAACATCAGCACCATCCGCAACATCAGCATCATCACCAGCATCATCACAGCCATCAGCAGCATCACCATATTTAGCATCGTCAGCATCACCATCATAATCGTCACCGACATCATAATCATAATCCTCTCCATCAGCATCATCATCACCATCAACATCATCAGCATCATCAGCATCATCATCGCCGTCGTCGTCGTCATAATGATCATTCGCATCATCGTCGTCGACGTAGTCATTACCATCGTCATTACAATTTGCAAGACCACCCTCGTCATCACCATCATCGTCATCATAATCATAATCCTACCATCGTCGTCCGTACAGCCATATCCCCATGATCATCCGAACCTCCAGCAATCCAGCACTTGCCCCCGAACACAATTCTCCCCCTCGGCACCGATACTGCTATCATAACTGCCAACATCCCAGCATCATCACCATCATCCTGGTCCAAGTCACATGCCCTTTATTTACCACCCTCACCATTCTCCCACCCCGCTCCTCCCAGCCAGTCACACAACCGCTGTACACCCCTGTTCTCTGCCTCTCCCTCCCCCGTCCCGACCAGCTACAACTGAGAGAGATGTGCTCTTTACCCTTCTGGGGGAACCCATCCTGCAAACGATCTCTCAGTTGCTGCTGGTCGGCCTTCCCTCCCCCATCCCCTGCCCTACCCACATCCATCCTAGAGGCCTCCCAAATGGGGTCCAAGTGGATGGGGACGGAGGGGCACACCGCATCTAAGCTGCGCAATGCCTCCCCCGCGGCCCTGACTGTCAACGCTCTTGCGTTGCGTCCCGCCGCCGCCAACTCCCACCCTCTCGGCTCGACCGTCCCTGGCCCCGGCGCTGCCCTCCGATGACGCCGGCGGCCGGGGTCCTTTTCCGCCTCGTGCCCCAGACTGCACCCGAACAGGTCCCTGGCCCCTGGCGGCGGCATCCGTCGCCACTGGTTTCCTGGGCATGGCCTTGCCTCTGGCTGCCCCCGAATGCCTCCTGCGCTTCGGCGTCGTCACGAGCGAGCGCCTGGGCCTGGCCCCGCACGGAGGAGGAGGGGGAGGAGGAGGAGGAGGGGGAGGGGGAGGAGGAGGAGGAGGAGGAGGAGGAGGAGGAGGAGGAGGAGGAGGAGGAGGAGGAGGAGGAGAGGAGGGGGAGGGGGAGGGGGAGGGGGAGGGAGGGGGAGCAGGGGGAGCAAGGGGAGGAGGGGGAGGAGGAGGAGGCGGAGGTGTGACAGGTCCGTCGGGCTCCTCAGCACAGTGGCAACGAGATGCACGGTGGTGGGAGGTGCAGGCGGACAACTCGGCGTTCTGGGGCCAGCGAGCCAGCACCTCGTGCTAGAGAGCAAACTGCATTCACAACTGGTTGGTTTGTCGCGCTCGCCGTCGACAAACCAACCAGTTGTAAATGCAGCTGTGAATGGGTCTCGTTCGCGGCTTTCTTCGACATCGCCGGGTTTCTATGAGAGTATAACAAAAGCTAAACTTAAGAGGACGGCTCGGTATTTCGGTTGGGGCTCGTGCAGACTCGATGTACCCTATACCGGGCCCCTCGTCATGAACGGTGGGGCGCGAGCAGCTGGTGGCGAATGGCAGTCATTGTGGGCTGCACGTGCGCGACTGGGAGATCTGATTTGATACTCCTGACTGTCTTGGGAGAGCTCGCTCGAGAGGGACCCCCATGCAGGTCCGTCAATGTGATTGGCGATTTGACGGGTGACAGCATCGGGAGTCCAGAGACTGTAGTCAAGGCTGCGGGGGAAGTCTGTGAGGTGGTCCAGAAGGGGATGTCTGAGAATTAGTTGGCTATCATCTGGGGAAGAAATACTTCCAGTGCTTTGAGGCGAGCCTGGTTCCTGGATCCTGGAGGCGCAGGTAGGGTTTTGGCTCAGGCCAAGGCAAGCACTTTCTAGCTCATCGGGATCTCGGTGGGAACTCAAACGAAGGCCAGAGGAGGCGAATCGGAAACCAGAAGCCTCGCAAGCAAGATGTTCTTAAGATGGCTTCCCGTCTAACCATGTTCGGCTTAGGCGACTCCGTAGCCAGGGTACTCAGGGCGGCACCCTTCGCCAAATCTATCAAGGATGCGGCCAACCTCAGAGCTCCCGATACTTTACGTCGTCGTTGTCTTGGCGGCCAAAACTACTGGAGGAGTGCCCAAATGGGCCAGCATGCATCGGTTTCAGATTTCTTGCGAGCCCATCGGCTTGGAGAAGAGACCCCGTGTTTCTCAGCACGGCCGATGCCATCAGAGAAGTGTATCTCGCCCGGGGCCAAATCCGTCAGCTCGGAGGCCATCAGGAGCAGCTTCGAGGACGCCTTGACCTGGCCTTGGGCGGCGTTCATGCAGCCCATCGCAGCTCGCATGTCCTTGAAGGTGGACTTCAATAGGCCGGAGGTAGTCGACGACTTGAGCAGGTCTTGGTCGTTCCACAAGTTCTGGTACAGACAGCGCACGTCGGGCCAGCAGTGCGGCCGGGGTTCTTGTGAATACTGGAACGGTCCGATGTGTTGGGCCCCGATCTCCGAGTTGATCCGCCTGCAGGACCGTCCAGGCTGACAGGACCATCAGAAAAGCGCCCTGAAAGCGATGGCTGCCAATGTGCGCTGGGCGCAGACACGGATTCCTATGCGAGTGATGTGAAGCATGTGCGTCAGCAATGTCATGGAACGACAGGCACCACCTACCACAGGAGGTGTTGTTGTCTAGCTCACCCACCAGGTTTGGAGCCGTGCATTCTTGGACGACGGTGTGAAACGGGCAGCAGATAACATCACGGGTACCTCAATCAAGGACCTGGAGCTGCCTGCAGAGGTATCTTTCTCGGCCCAGAGCGTGTTGTTCATAGACCGTCCCAACTGGCAGACGATCCCTATACCAGAGATAGGCTGGCACTGCGGTCGGACGCTCACGTCTACTTGGATGGTTCTGGGTTTGAGATTGTGTTGCCCTCTCTGCGAGTTGCAGGATGGACAGTCGTGGTGAACGACCTGAATGGCGAGGTGGTGTCAGCCTTGTACGGCGTGGTCCCGTTGAGTGGGGGGGGGCTGACCATGTTGCCAAGAACGGCCAGGAGTTCGCAGTGCCCATGCTATCCAGGAATGCTGCTGTGGCGCCTGGAATTCACGCTCATATTGACTGTGCTGGTACCTTGGGCTGTGCGGAGCGGCTCGGGCGGGATGCCTGGGCGAAGGAGCAGCGGGCCCATTGGTGATCAGAGATCGGTAGTCGGTGGCAGGGGGCTATGTTTGTGAAGGTCGACTCTCACCTCCCAGACTATGCAGTACGAGACGGCAAAATCTCCCATCCAGATTGGCGGGGCAACCCAGCGGCTTGTCGCCTATCCAAGCTTGGAGCCCAGCCGTTTCGGGCGTCGAACGACGACACTCTTCTCATCGGAGGGTGTCACGAGCTGGCCAAAAGAGTTGCTAAATTCGGAGGTTTGCAGCAAGCGATGTTGACCACCTCCGTCGTGTACGACACGTGGGCTTCGAGTGGATGAGGCGAGTCGAGCTGGAAATGATCCCTGGTCTCCCTTTTCCGCCCTGTACGACCCTGGCGCCCGAAGACGAGGCAAAGGACAGGGATACCGACCAGAAAGTTGATGAGTGTGTTCCTCACCCTTGGTCTTGGAACGGACATGCACTGAGACGTGCAGAAGTCCTGGAGGATGGAAAACATGTACTGCCGCAACAACGTCCCTTGGGAAAACAGAAGTCGTGCAAAGTATAGGTGCAAACTCCCGGGGCCCTCCCTGCAAGTCTCAGACGGTCACGGGAGCAATGAACCTCACCAAGATCACCAAAGGCCTCCACACCCTCTCGAGCTCGAAGTCCGTTGTCCGTGACCGGGGTGGCTTGAGCGCCCTGGCGGTGGACCAAAGGGGGGCTTACGAGGATGCAGCTAGAAGTGAGGGCTCTGTTACAGTGGAGGCCAGTCCACAAGAAACCTTCCACAAGAAACTCAACCCTGAGACCCCAGGACGTCCATCGATTTCTGGTGTGGGAACGTCACGCTTTCCACAGCAAAACCATCGAAACCCAAGAAACCCAGAGCACCCTGGGGGCAAGCAGGGCGGTTCTCGGCAGTGGCCTCCACTGCAAGCGTGCATCTCAGTCGAATGCTAAAAGTTTTGTGGCAATAGCGTCGCACCAGGCGCTGACTTTTCCAAAGGACTGGCGCTTCTTGGGGGCTCGCGAAAGTCAAGGCTCGGGCCTTCAGCACACAGGCCCGCGAGCGGGCCAGTACCAGGGAAGTCGGTCCCGAGGAGCTGCTCCCCGATGGGCCCCGATGGGCCCGAGCCGTCCCTCTCAGCGGCTGCCCGACACACCCCTTCGCGTCCCGTTGTTCCTAACCTCTCTTGCAGTTGCATGGGGTAGCAACCCGCACTGCTCTTGAGCTAGCGAGGAGGAGGAGGAGAAAGAGGAGGAGGAGGAGGAGGGAGGAGAAAGAAGGAGAAGGAAGGGGAAGGGAGGGGAAGGAGTAGGAGGAGGAGGAGGAGGAGGAGGAGGAGGAGGAGGAAGAGAACCCCTCAGCCGCCAAATTCCCTGACCGTGCCCCTGCCCCCGACAGCCCCCGAACGAGCCCCCCCGGCCCCTGGCACCGCGCTCCGCTGCCGCGCAGCGCTTCCCCGGCCGGGCCCCTTCTTGCACCGACAGCCCAGAGAGTGAGAATCGCCGAGAGAGGTCTTTGGTTTTGGTCCCCCACCGTTTTCTCTCGGCAGTGAATAAGAAGCGTCCTTAAACTGGCCCTCCTCATCGTCCTGCTCCTCCAATCGTAGTCGTAGTTGCAATCGTAGTCGCCGCTGTCGTCGTCGTCGTTGTTGTGCGGCGGGTGCCGCGGAAAAACAACAACAATAGATCAGTGGTTACCACCTATTGGTGGACCCCAGTCCTTCAATAAGGCCGCCGAAACAATAATGAGTTACCCCCTATTGGGGGGGTTCTTGAGACCTTTCGAGGTTACATGTATCCAGGGGCGACGATGGTCCATGCCTTCCCCTGGGCTATTCTCCACTGTTGTCGCCTCCGATGTGCCCCCATGGCAGCCAGCGGCTGCGCCTTGACAAACCCTGCGCAGGCAGAAGAGGCCACGAGCTGCGCAGGAATGGATGCGGCGCAGCAGCAGGGCGACGAGGCAAGAGTCGGCGGGGGAGGAGGGCGGGCGCAGGAGCCTAGGACGTGGGAGGGGGCAGAAAGGCGGAGAGGAGGGATGTCCTGGTGAGCAGGGGGCCAAAACAGAGAGGGAGAAGGAATAGGAGGAGGAGGAGGAGGAGGAGGAGGAGGAGGAGGAGGAGGAGGAGGGAAGAGAAGGGAGGAGGAGGGGGAGGAGAGGAGGAGGAGGAGGAGGAGGAGGAGGAGGAGGAGGAGGAAGAGGAGGAGGAGGACGAGGAGGAGGAGGAGGGGAGGAGGAGGGGGAGGAGGGGGAAGAGTGTCACGGCTGTCGTTCGTTTAAGGCACGGGTAATGTTTTACCGCTTCGTGACCTAACAATGGTCGCATGCTAAACCACCACATGAGGAGTCAATGCATGAAGGGGCAATGCCCCAGCATGAGGGGGTCAACGCTTGAGGGGCCAATGCCCCAGCATGAGGGGGTCAGGGCATCAGGGGCCGAAGCCCCGGCATCAGGGGTCAACGCATGAAGGGCCAATGCCCCACCAAGAGGGGTCAAAAAATGCGGGGTCGAGGCCCCGGCATGAGGGGGTCAACGCATGAAGAGGCAATGCCCCAGCATGAGGGGATCCACGCATGAGGGGCCAGCCAAGGCCCCAGCATGAAGGGTCAACGCATGAGAGGCCGAAGCCCCGGCATGAGGGGTCAACGCATGCAGAGCCAATGTCCCAGCATGAGGGGGTCAACGCATGAGGGGCCAGCCAAGGCCCCGGCAAGAGCGGGTCAGGGCATGAGTGGCTGAAGCCCTGGCATGAGGGGTCAACGCATGAAGGGCCAACGCCCCAGCATGAGGGGGTCAACGCATGAGGGGCCAGCCAAGGGCCAGCATGAGGGGGTCAAGGCATGAGGGGTCAACGCATTAAAGGCCGAACCCCTGGCATGAGGGGTCAACGCATGAAGGGCTAATTCCCCAGCGTGAGGGGGTCAACGCATGAGGGGCCAGCCAAGGCCCCAGCATGGAGGGTCAGGGCATGAGGGGTCAACGCATGAAAGGCCGAAGCCCTGCCATGAGGGGTCAACGCATGAAGGGGCAATGCCCCAGCATGAGGGGGTCAACGCATGAGGGGCCAGCCAAGGCCCCGGCAAGAGGGGGTCAGGGCACGAGGGGTCAACGCATAAGAGGCCGGAGCCCCGGCACGAGGGGTCAACGCATGAAGGGCCAATGCCCCAGCAGGAGGGGGTCAACGCATGAGGGGCCAGCCAAGGCCCCAGCATGAGGGGGTCAAGGCATGAGGGGTCAACGCATGAAAGGCCGAACCCCTGGCATGAGGGGTCAACGCATGAAGGGCTAATGCCCCAGCATGAGGGGGTCAACGCATGAGGGGCCAGCCAAGGCCCCAGCATGAGGGGTTCAAGGCATGAGGGGTCAACGCATGAAAGGCCGAAGCCCTGCCATGAGGGGGTCAACGCATGAAGGGGCAATGCCCCAGCATGAGGGGGTCAACGCATGAGGGGCCAGCCAAGGCCCCGGCAAGAGGGGGTCAGGGCACGAGGGGTCAACGCATAAGAGGCCGGAGCCCTGGCACGAGGGGTCAACGCATGAAGGGCCAATGCCCCAGCATGAGGAGGTCAACGCATCAAGGGGCCAGCCACGGCCCCAGCATGAGGGGGTCAGGGCATGAGGGGTCAACGCATGACTGGATTGCCTGTGTCGCCCCGGTGGCGTAACTCCAGAGGGCTCGGGTGAGATGCTCTTCGGAGATCGACGGTCTCCTTACAGGCGCCCCGTGCGTCCTCACCCGTCTACCCAACAGCAGCCCTGCGCACCATTGGCACGGGGGGAGGAGGGGGAGGAGGGCGAGGAGAAAGAGGACGAGGAGGAGGAGGGGGAGGAGGAGGAGGAGGGGGAGAGGGACTCAGAAGGGGCAGCAGGACGGGGGGAGGGTCGAGGAGGGCGCGGAGGAGCCAGCGCCCGCCCCGCGCCGCCACGAGCAGCGGCTTGCCGCCCCCCAGCGACGGGGCCGCGCCTGGGCTCTGCGACGGGGCCGGGCCGCCGACGCCGGCGCCGTCCGACGAGGGCCGAGCATCGGCGGCGCGCCAGGGGCGGAAGTGATCGGCGGTGCGCCGAGGGTCGGCGGCGAGTGAGGGGGGCTCCCCCTCCTCACTGCCTCCTCCTCTTCCTCTTCCTCCTCCTCCTCCTCCTCCTCCTCCTCCTCCTCCTCCTCCTCCCTGCCTCTCCCCCTGCCTCCTCCCGTCCAGCCTCCTCCTCTACCTGCCAAGGCCCCTCTCTCCCTCCTAAGAGGGCAAATCGAACGGTAGCCTACTGTCGGAGGCGAGCGAGGGGAGGAAGTGAGAAGGAGAAGGCCTTCTCAGAAGGCGGCGGGACTTCTCAAAGCCGTCGCGACTCCTGAGAAGTTGTTGCTCGTCTTCGGTGAAGGCTTATTCGAGCACTTCTCAGACAAGGCTGGGGGACTTCCGAGCCTTCTGACAAGGGCTTCTCCTTCTCACGTCCTCCCCTCGCTCGCCGCCTAGAGGGGGCAGGTTCAGCGGAGGTAAGTCCTGAGAGCCAGGCTCTGTATGGTTCCACCTCGGGCGGTTTCGCTCAGTCTCGAGCCGCGGGGCCAGCACAGGTCGATCGGGCCCGAAACACGGCGCAGAAAGCGTTGCGTCTGTTCCCTGCGTCGGCTCTCAGGGAATGTGCTGATACCATGAGGGCGGGCGTGTCTCCCTACAGGCGGATTTTGGACGAAAACAGAATGCACCCAAAACAGATTCAACAAATGCGCAACAATTGTCAAAACATCGTCCCCACAGTATTTGTTACCAATTTTTCAATATTCCTCCTGTAGAGGGACAGGCCCGATTTAACGATACCGCTGCTCGTCCTGGAGAGCTCTCGTCGACTCTGCTGGCCTCTGCTCGAGAGGCTCGGGTCGAGACCGTGCCCCAGAAGCGAGAGGGGACAGGGGCCTTCTCGGAAGGCGGCGGGGCTTCTCAGACGCCCCCCTGGCCTTCTGAGAACCCCTCTTGGTTGGAGGCCTGAAACATCGGCACCAACACCAAGATAGGGGGGGTGCCTCCAAGGGAAGACGGCCCCAGGATCTGGTGCTGGTGTTGATACATTGGCCACCTGGGTGGCACGACACTTACCACCGCCACCGAAGCCGGGATCATCCGCCCTCGGTGGAGGCCCGCCGCCGATATGGGTGTTGGCGTCAACCCCTGGGCCTCCGACTTCGGCTTCGGAGTCGGGACGGGAATCTCCGCGGACGCCAGGAGGCCTTCTGAGACGTCTTAGAGGGTCCGCCCTCTCCGCCTGCTCCCCCTCCCCGCCCAGGAGCGCCGCCAAGGAGAGCGGCCGCGCCGCGGCGCTGGCCCGGAAAGTCCGCGCGTGACCTCCGAAAGTGCACGCTGGTGTGGTGTGTTTCTTGTGGCTGCTCTCCTTCGAGGTATAGATGTTTAGGGGAGGGGAGGTTAGGAGGCAACTCTTTGGAGGCCTTCGCTGGAACGGTGTTAAGGGCGGAGAAGCTCGATTCAGAAGCCATTCCACCGGATGAAGCCACTTTCAGCGAGTGGGCGGGTTATCGACCGCGAGAACACCAGCGCCGATGCAGAACTGAACCTCACAGGAGTGGCATCTTAGAGCATGCAGGACACTGGCGGATGGCCCTCGTAGCCCAATCAGGGAAGACAGAAACGAGGCGGAAGGGAGGGGAGAGAGACGGAGAGACAGAGAGAGAGAGGGAGAGAAAGAGGGAGAGAGGGAGCGGGAGAGATGGGGGAGGGAGAGCGGACAGGGGTAAGCTAATAGGCGGGCTCACGCCATATCTGGCATACCAGCCCATGCCATCAATCCGTTTCCATTGCGCTGTTGCTTATCCATCTGCCGACGCGTGTCACAGCGGTCCTGGAACTCCAAAGAGGACCCCGTTGTGTCATGCGCAATCGCAAAATGGAAGCTTTGTACATTGGAGGAGGAGGTGGCAGAAGAGTAAGAGGATAAGCATGGGGAACAGAAGGATGAAGGAGTAAGAGGAGTAACAGCAGAAGCAGGAGAAGGAGTAGAAGAAGTAGGCGGAGAAAGATGACCAGGTACAGGTGGGGGACGGAAAAAGGGTTGGGCGACAACGATGGGGCACTCGGATCCAGAAAAATTGCCCACGATTAGTTTAAGAACGGCATTCTGAACGACGGGAGCAAACGCAAAGCACCGATCCTTAAATAAGGCCACCGCTGCAGCGGGAGCACCGTTTTGAGACACTGACAACGCTTCGACAACTGTTGAAATCCTAGGTGGGCTGTACAAACGAATGCGCGGAAGGTGGGCGGTCCTCTCCCCGGACATCTGCGGGGGAGAGAGGAGAGTAGTGTTCTTATTGGGGTCATGTGCCAAGAGGCAGAGCCAAAATGATGGCAAGCGGAATCGGAGATGAAGTCCGGAAGCAAATCCTCTCCGCCTCTCACTGTCATGATCATGTGCATGCTCATGCTCCACCTCATCATCCTCGCGTAGCCGACCCATGAGGTCTCAGGATGCCGCGATCTGCCATCAGTCGCACGCGCGCTGGGCCATCTCCTCACGCTCATTCCCGAACCTGTGTTCTTCTTCCGGCCCAGGAAATGCCTGCCATGGCGCGCCCAATGAGCAGAAGCCGAGGGGCTGGCAGATTGACTCGTTCTACTAGAGGCCTCATAAATGGGGTCCGCGCACATGGGGTCGGAGGATCGCGCCGCAGCACCGATGCATCGGCGATACATCGAGGATGCATCGGCGACGTCGACGTGAAGAAAATCGGGCTCCACATCCAGTCGCATCGCCGATGCATCGGCGATGCGGCGCGACCCCGACCTCATGGGATCCCAAAACCGTCTGGTGACAGACCGTGCGGTGACCTCGGAACCCCAAGAGACCACAGCGTACGGTCCGTCACCGCACGGTCTTGGGACCCTGGAGGCCCGAGGCCCCTGTCGCCCGAGACATACTCGGAGAGGGACTCGAGTCCCAAAACCGTGCCGTGACGCGGCAACCCCGAATCCCCAACGACTCACCACACGATGTAGTCACCACCTCAATCCACGAGCTGGGGCTGAACTGCGCGTGGGCCGGCCGGCACAGGGCGGGAGCGGCACAGAAACGGAGGAGCGGACGACTCAAAGAAGGGAGGAGCAAGTCTGTCGCCTGCGGCCTCCCTCCTCCTCCTCATCCTCCTCCTCCCCCTCCTCCTCCTCCTCCTCCCTCCTCCTCCTGCTGCCTCCTCCTGCTGCCTCCCACCCTGCCCCCCTCCATGCTCTGCCCCACTGCTCCCTGGATCATACCCCTTCCCTCCTCCGTGCCCTCGCGTGCCCCCGTCCTGCCACCCTCTCCTTTCCCCCGCCCCCTTCGCTGCCCCACCCCACCCCCAGGGGGGAGGAGCAGGGGAAAGGGACGCACGGGAGGAGAAAGAGTAAAAGGGGGAGGAGGAGGAGGAGGAGGAGGAGGAGGAGGAGGAGGACGAGGAGGAGGAGGAGGAGGAGGAGGAGGAAGACAATTACCCTGGCGACGTACCCACCCCCTGCGTCATTCGGGGCAGGAGTAGCTTGGGAGATTTGACGAGAAGGCGGCGACGTGACATGGACGCATCTACTTCTGCGAGCGGCATTCAGAAGGTTCGCAGGTCCCCAATCAAGGGAAAAAACGATGAGTAACTAAGTGAAACCCTGAGTCACAAAAAGAACGCAAGAGGCAACTGTGGGCAAGAGGCTTGAAACGTCCGCGGGGCAGCAACAACATGACATGGCCGCCCTGGGACGGCGAGGTCGCGCTCAGGTCCGCGCAGTGCCTCACTCCGCTGGACCCACCAGCAGCCTTAGAAAGTGGCAAGCCCACAAGCAGCCTTCGAAAATGGCGACAGCTTCGCGGATCGCAGCCCCCCGCCCCCGAGGACGGCGAGGTCTTCCTCGGGTCTGCGCGGTGCCGCACTCCGCTGGACCCACCAGCAGCCCTCGAAAGTGGCGGCAGCTTGGCAAATCGCAGCCCCCCGCCCCCGAGGACGGCGAGGACTACCTCAGGTCTGCGCGGTGCCTCGCTCCGCTGGACCCGTCAGCAGCCCTCGAAAGCGGCGACAGCTTCGCAGATCGCAGCCCCCCACCCCCGGGAACAGCGAGGTCTCGCGCAGGTCTGCGCGGTGCCTCACTCCGCTGGGCCCACCAGCAGCCCTCGAAAGTGGCGACAGCTTCGCAAATCGCAGCCCCCCAGGGACGGCGAGGACTACATCAAGTTTGCGCGGTGCCTCACTCCGCTGGGCCCACAAGCGGCCCTCGAAAACTGGCGACATCTTCGCAGATCGCAGCCCCCCAGGGACGGCGAGGACTACCTCAGGTTTGCGCGGTGCCTCGCTCCGCTGGACCCGTCAACAGCCCTCGAAAATGGCGACCATCTCGCACATCGCAGCCCCCCAGGGGCGGCGAATAGAGGGCAGAAGGGGGGAGGAGGCGGGAGGAAGGACGCGCGAGCAGTGCTCTTTTCTAACCGAAAACCCAACCAAGGAGCATTCGGGAAAAAGGGGGAGGATGGGGAGCAGGAGGAAACGGTGAGGCGAAGGAGGAGGAGAAGGAGGAGGAGCACGAGGACGGGGAGAAGGGGGGAGGAACGAGCTGGGCGACCAACGTAAACAATAAAGCCGAAGCCAGCGTGGCTTCGAGGGGGTCTCCAAAATATTGGAGAGGGGCGATCAGGAACGCCCGAATCACATCCCTGACTCTGCGCTTCCAGTCCCAACGATAATGGCGCCGCGCGGTGCCCCCATGTTCACGAGGTCGTTCCCCCTGTAGTACATATGGTGTGAACATGACGCGTATTGAAGATGCTCGACACGCCGCTCCTGGCTTCATCAAATCTTACGTCGTCGCCCTGAAGAGCACGGGCGTCCGTTGTCATCAACCCCGTGAAACAATGATGCACTCGCTTTATCCGGCCAGAAAGCCGAAATTCTCGCAACGACCGCATGGGGAGGCGCTGCGTCCTGTTCACTCGTATCCTTTCAGGCCC